GGAGGCCCAGTCGCCGACCCACAGACGGAAGAGTCGACCAAAGCAGGCACCCAACATGATATTGGGGACAAACAGGCCAGCAGGGATGGCAACACCATATGTTAGTAGAGTGAGGAAGAATATGATGAAGCCAGCAGCCGCCAACTGTCCCTGTGGGAACTCCGCTTCGCCTAGTCGAGGTGAGAATAGCCACTTCACTGAGGTGTCCCTATCAGTGAGGAGCATAGCTGCAAAGGGGTTATAGTAGCCCATATCGACTCCTTCATCACACATAGCCGCCTGAATGCCGTCGTTCGGTATGTAACTCTGACCATCCAGTGGTTTGCACGCGCCCATCTCCGACCAGGACACACCATAAGCCAATAGAATAGTGATGATCATGACCAATCCGGCTTCGACCACTTGCCCAAATCTTCGACGATCCTTACCGTTGGAATAAAGATGAAAGAACACCCGTCTGTAGTATTGGAAGTAGCGCACGCCCTGGCAAAAGATAGCACCCATGAGGCCAAAGAATATACCCAGAAGGATGAAGCAAGCAAACTCCCAAACGTGGAAGTAACTCCCATCTGCATTAGGGAACTGCATACCACCAGCAAGGTTGACACATGAACCCTCCACTTTACATTGAAAGTACTGCGCTGTCAACCGAGTCATATAACTAGCGATGATGCAGCCCAAGAAGCATCTCCAGTACAGCTCTCGTGGCCAGTATGTTGATGCTTCTTCTATTGTAAACAGCATACCTCCAATAGGAGCTTCGAAAGCTGTCGCTACACCCATGCCGGCGCCCATCGACACAAACTCATCTTTAACTTTCTGTGTTGAGAACGGTAATAGCGCTTTCAAATAGAATTTGTTCCTTGCATGCATTTGTGCTACCGCAGCACCAACGATCGCACCAAGATGAGCCATAGGGCCCTCGCTACCTAAAAAAACCAAAATATCGGACCGATATAGTCGGGACATGTTGGGTAGTACCTGCATAGTGTCCAGTGCCGACCACTACGATCTGACCAAGGATACGCCAGACTATCCCCCAGAACCTCATCAGCTTGGGCACCATGACGCCATTGAGATAAGCCTTCACATCTGGGATGCCGCTACCACCCGCAAGAGGAGACATGTAGGAGACACCCCAGCCGATGAAGCAGATGAGTGGTACGCCGATGGCTATCCAGATGAGCATAGCGCAACCAGGGTTGTCAGACTTGAGCCAGTGGATCATAGCATCAGTCTTGCCAACTAGTAACCAATGAGAACCAATTAGAATGACGCCACGACATATTCCTATGACGGCCCCCTCGACGATAGTTAGAATCCATTTAACCCACTGAGCTATGAATGGGCTATATGAGGAGGGCTTTCGAGGATCCAAGGGGCCACTCGGTCCCACCGGTATGGACCCATCGTGTATCGTAGGATGATCCCAGAAGTAGTCATGGCTCTCGATTCCCTTAACACCTTCCTTGAACTGTGAGGCCCTGAGGAGGACCTCCATCTCTTCCTCTGAGGCGCAGTCCTTCTTAGAGCCGCCACCGGCACTGGAATAGGTCTCGGAGCCGGAGCAGGAAGTCGTGTCGAGCTTCGAGATGGACGGTTGCGCTTTAGGTTTTGGTGAACACGGGGACAGCATATATATAATTGGACCAGTTACGACAAAGAACAATACAGGAACAGAAACTGCAGAAGAACAGCTGGGGTTCAACGCAACCTCACTCAGAGCTTTCTCAAGACATCGGTGGTGTATGGTAGTCCTTCGGGCATAAACACGTCAACCTGAGCGGTACTGAAAGTGTGCTACCACTGAGAGTGTTGGGAGGTCTAATGCCCGAGGTAAGCCACAACAACACCGACACTGAGGATTTCTGTGGAAAAAAACAACGCGGATGCAATAGCGCTGCTGACCATGCACGGATATATGAATGTGGTGTACCAAAATCGATATCTCACTGCTATAACTAGATAAGCCAACTCGACTCCAGCTCTCGTAGTATACCAGCTAACTTAGTGATACGGTAGTGGCCCTAGCCAGTTGTAGGGTATTTAGTTACTGTCGATCGATACCACAAATATAAGACGGAGGTAAGTCAAGACAGTTAAGCCGAAGGTCGATAGAACCGATCTTCTAACCGAACCGAACGAAGATAAATAAACAAAGAAGAAGAACTGAGATAACTCAGATAATGATAGAACTATAGCACAGTTATACTCGATCGATCAGACTCTTGATAACACGGGGTGACGCAGCTGGATGGAGCCTTGCACGCAAACTCATCTTCATGAACGCAAACTCATATTCACGCACCCAGGCCCGGTCCAGCACACT